GGCCTCCCAACTCTCACGCGTGGCTGCTGTGCTCCCCGCCTCGGAGGGGGCTTCTCCTCTCTCTGCAGGCTTTTCTTGCTTCTTGTCAACTCTATAATTTCCTACTAAGCGTTGCCAGGTTTAAGTGCCCTGGTGCCAGAGGCTTTAAACGGGAAACTCGAGCTAGGGACAGTTGCAAAAGGGAGCCCTGTTTAAGCAGCTTGTTATTTCTGCAGGTGATATCTGAGAAAGGGGAATATTAGTGGCCCGGGACAATAAAGCATCTATTCAGGCTTTTTTTAAGAGTTAGTGTTAGAGTAACATGATCTCTGCAGCGCCTGCAAAGTCAGCTTTTCGAGAGTAAGTTCCAAGAAGCAGCACAGAAAAGCTAGATGGTTTTTGCATCTCTTGCCACCATATGGCAGGTTTTTTCTAGGTGTAGCAGCTGGATACGAAGCCAGTTAACACTTACAGTGAAACAGATATTAAAGATCAAGCCGGCTTTGGCTTTCTGTGCAAAGAACAGAAAAAAGACAAGGACATTTACAAGGAGGCCTGAAAGAACATTAAAACAGAACAAATCCTGAGACCCTGTCCCAGGACTTGTCAGCTGTTGGGCCATTGTTACAAATAATAAGCAGACAAGATGGAAAAGCAAAGCATTTGACAAATCCCTGACCTTCCTCATATTTTTCCAGTTCTCTGGATAGACCGTCTCTAAGTTGGGTTCCTTCTCATCTGTAGACACTGTCAAAATCAAATTGATTGTCCACGTGTCTCCAGGACCATTTGGATCCCCCGTCCCACCCAGTGATAACTAGATGCTGCAACACAGAGCAGGTGAGGGGGCTGGCCGTGTCCTTCGCTGGAGCACTAGCGGATTTAATAGCTGCCTGATTCCTAACCCAGACCTGCTGTATCCTTCCAAGTCCCACCTTGTAACAGGGAGCTTAAACCTTTCCAAACCGGTACATCTAAAGCCAGCACTTGAAATGAGACAGGTAACCCTGGGCATGGAATAGAGCCATAAACTCAGACTTTTCCCCTAAATATTTTCTCCAAGTAGAGGGAACCTCGTCCACTCTGGAGTGCACAGAGAGGAACTGCTCTGCGAGTGAAAGTCTAGCAGTTACACTCATCTCTGCTGTGGCTCAAACCTTGGAAGGATCAGCTTGGCCTAAAACATTCCTCACCAAAGTGTTTTTAATCTCATCTTTAAAGTCTCTGATCTCTCAAGCACTCTGCCTCAGAGGAACTACCCTTACCACCAGAAGGGTTTCATAATTTAACATCCACCCACAGTGAACAGGAAAAATAATTTATTTATTTCCTCTATTGTTGCAGGCACTCTTAAAGTTATCTTAAAATAATTGTCAAGTATTGGTCTTTTCTTCTCTGAATTATATTGATTATGATTTTTAGACCTTTTATTCTTGTTACCTCCTTCTAGACTTTCTTCAGTGGATCTAGACTTCCTTGAACTGACCCCAAGACCTTCCTGAGCAAGTAATGGAAGAAGATTACCTTGGGTATTTGCGGACAACACTTTTTGTGTGTGTCCGAATATGAGATTTACTCTTTCTCCTCTTCTCCCCTCCTCCAGCAGCATAAAATTTTTTGACTTGTGGTCAGCCTGTGACTTGTTATATGTCCCAATGCATTTCTGTAGATCAGCTACTTATGGCATTGTTCCCTATCTTGTACTTGCCCAGTTTCTTTCTCATAGTTGCTCCTGGTGGTCCGTGCTGAACTGCTTTTTCCAGATTGTTTTTCCAGTTTGTCAAGATCTTTCAAATTCTAATCGTGTTGTCCATGTTTGTGCAGCCCCTCCTAGGCAGCTGTAACCTCCCAAGGTCTGTCATGTCCCTGCATGCTCAAGCTGTTCCTAATAAGCCTCATTTAATGCTCTTGAACCCCACTATAATAGGCATGTGCCTCACATGGGAGGGCTTATATATTAGCAGGGAGAAAAGTGAAGGTTAATTGGTGGAAAGTTTGCCATTTCAAGGGAGCCAATCAGAAAATTTAGGCACGTGTATAAACCACTAAGGAATGAATATGGGTCAAGTCCTGCTGGGGAGTTTCCTTTTTATCGTTTTTTTCTTGTTTGCCTTTTTTTTTTTTTTTAAAGTTGGAGTTACACTTGTAAGGCAAAGTCGTATGGATATAAAGGAGTCCCTAAAGTTTGTATGTGGGGAGGTCTCTGAGCTGCATATCAATATAGGTGCCTGTATTTGGGTGTGGTTTCCATAGGGGCTCTGTGACAAAAGGAAGGGTCCTGTAGCTCTTACAGTGTGGTAGTATTGCTTGGATCAAATATTTTCCCTGTTGTAACAGGCCTATGTGCATGCACTAAAAATACCATTTTGGAGAGGAGAGTTAACCTGATGCTCAAGGAAATCCAGACCTAATGATTCTCCTCTTAATTCATGCTATTTTTCTAAATAATTCAGAAACTATGTCTGATCCTGCGTCCACTTGGTTGATGTGTGGTTCCTCTGACTCAGCGCGTGAATCGGACATCATCTGTGAGTTCTTGTGCTCTTCAGGCTCTGGAGATTTGGCTCAGCTGTGGCTGCATTTCTCCAAACATTACTTACAGCTAGCAAGGATGCATTCCTAGAGACCTGGAGTAAGGGCTTGTGTTTTCCCAGCTATTCCCCCCCCTCCACTTTGTTTGAGAGTGTTTAGCTTCCCTCTTGAGTTGTACAATGTGGACTCCCCAAGTAGAAGTAGCTGACAGCTGCTAAGGAAGCATAGAAGGCCTACCACTGTGTACAGCAGTAGTTGTACATGACTGAGAGAAAATTGGAAGTTATAATTTAATGTCATCCTTAAAAGTCTTCCTTCCCTTTGTCCCATTGTCTTTTACATCTCAGTTGTGGCAGTTTTAGAGAATGGAAGGGGCTTTATGGTGACACTGAAGGGCTGAAATAGATAGGAGAGAAGGTTTCCCTTACCCTTGGTCCTTGTGGAAAGAAGTGACTATCAGCTTCCTTTCCCCCTTGATAGCACCCAGGGAAGATCTGGGAGAAAGTGAGCCTGAAAGAAAGACGGGGAAAAGGAATTGGAAAAGTAGGGAGTGGAAGAGAATAGAGGAGAGTAATGAAGAAGTAGGGCAGAACTAACACTAAAGGTAAATGAAAAACAAAGGAAAAATGGGAAAGCAGAGTAAATTAGGAAAGGAACAGAAATGTGATGTTATGGTAAACTTGCAGAAATTCTAGTGGCAATAGCATGTAGTAAAATACACATTGTTGCCTCAGATGTTTCAAAATCATTTTGTTTGTTTGTGAATTTGGCATCAGCAGTTGGTCACATTCCAGTAATGGCACTAGAATGCGCAGAGTGGTGGGTGGGGGGTCTCCCCTTTGCTCCCCAGAGTTTCCCTGGGCCTTGGCCAGCTCTGGGACTACCTGGAAGAAGAATTTCCTTTCGTACAGCCTTCTGGCCTTAGTCCGTTTTTAATCTTCTGAGGTAATGCACTGCTGCAGCATCTTGACTACAATACTTCTTATGTCATCCAGAAAAACACATCAGTTTCTATCTTTATTTTGATCTGGGTCTGGGTGTGGGCTTGTCCTTCCCATCACTTGGGTGGGTTCCCGGAATCACTCTTCAAGGACTCTCAGGGGTACTAACTCTCTGTGCCTGGCTCATGCATGTGAACCAAGGTGGCATTTAGACCATGTCACACAGCCATGTGAATGTTGCATCATGCTAGCAAGCTGCTTGCAAGGAAAATCTTGCGTTTTGCAGAGACTGATTTCGGTGCAACTAGACTTGAAGATTAACTAGTGCTTCACTGCATGGCTAACAATCTAAAGCAACAGCAAATAAATCAAAACAATGACATGACAGAAGAACTGGGACACAATTTTAAGTATGAAAGAAAAAATTGCAAGATGAGCTGTTCTATGGAAACGCCTAGTGTCTGAAAAAGATTTTTCTGCAAGTGAAGTCACGGAGTACCTTTGTGTGGATTCATAACCGTTTTCTCTAGTTCTCCTAAACTGTTGTACTCATTGCCCCGCTCAATGCTATGCGATTGGCTTGGGTTGTTGGTGTACTCCATTTCCTCAAGATGTAGCTGTCTTTGAAGGCAGAGCTGGTATGGTATTATTCATAGCGGAGCTGATGGTTTTATTATCCATTAACTTTATGACCTTGAGCAGCTTTAGGGTATTCACTGGAGTTATTATCCCATTGGCTTCAAAGGTACTGTATATCAAATGTTGAA